CATGTGGGAGTCCAATACCCTAACCATCATGCCACTTATTGCCCTGTAGAGTCGACATTTTAATTATATTGGTTCTTCTGGTCCAAGAAAAATGGATAGCTTTCTTTTATTTATTTATTTTATTTTTTTTGCATTTCAAATGGGAAGGAGAAAAATGTTTCTCTTAGAGGTGCTTATAAAACGTGACTTGTCACTAAGCAAATAAATCATTGTAACTGATTCTCAGAGCAAAACCAAGTCATTCAAATGTGCTTTTCAATCTAGATGGTACCCTGATTCTCCTTAGATTCTGGCTGGCTTAGAGAAGAATGCCTCTATTTGAATATCTCCTTAACATTCTGGAAAGTTCAAAAAGTATGCCAAGCAGTAGATGATGAGGAATTTTAAAATAAGTAAATAAAATAACAAACATTGCACCAGCAAATAGTGTAACGGTTATGTTGATGAATTCCCATGTAGCTGACCATGGTTCAAATTCCCAGTGGCTTAAAACTCACACCTGGTCTGTGTTCATGTGTGTGTGTGTGTGTGTGTGTGTGTGTGTGTGTGAGAGAGAGAGAGAGAGAGACCAAAATCCCAAGAGAAGAATGAAGAGGAGATTGCAGCATGCCCATCCCTCCTGGGACGTGACTTGCCGCTTTCTGTCTCTGTTTCTCTCTGCTTCTCTAGGAAGTGCACGTGCCCTATAGCAAAAATCTCTCAGAAGAAAGAGAAAAAAGGAAAGAAGAAAGGAAAGGGAGAAAGAGAAAGAAAGAGAAAGAAAGAAAGGAAGAAAGAAAGAAAGAAAGAAAGAAAGAAAGAAAGAAAGAAAGAAAGAGGGAGGGAGGAACAAAGAAGGAAGGGAAGGAGGAAGGAAGGAAGGAAGGAAGGAAGGAAGGAAGGAAGGAAGGAAGGAAGGAAGGAAGGAAGGAAGGAAGGAAGAAAAAGAGAAAGAAAAAGCTAAATGTGGAAAAATATGAGCACCGTAAGTTAGACTGCAAAATTACCTTGTGTACTGGGGTCAGGTAATGTCATGGTGGTTACGCAACCAGACCCACAGGGAAAGATCCTGAGTTAGGATCCAGAACATCCCTGAACACATCAAACGCATGTGTGTTCTTGTGATCTGGACTGACTGAGAAGATCGTGGCATGAAGACTCTGTTGCAGGTGCCGGTCTTTCTCTCTCTCTCATGGAATAAATAAATACACTTTTAAGTCTTGTATAGACTTAACCAAGTGTTAAAAGGTTCAGCTAAAATTTTCAAGATTCCAAGGTCAGCAGGTGGTGTTGTGGTTAATGGGCTCGACTCCCACATGGCCAACCACCTTTTGAGCCTTGGACCTAGTGACTTGCTTTCTCACTCTCCGTCTCTCTCTCTCTCTGCTCTGATGAGCACACATGCCTGACAGCAAACTTAATAAAACAGAGAAGTAAGTTAAAAATTATTTTAATTTTTAAAAATTTCAGGGTTCTGTAAAGCTTTTCACTTGTAAAATAATAGTTGCACTTTGTAGTACTGTTTTTCTCATCTCTAACGATATGGCATGTTTGGCGCCTACCTCAGAAAAGACACAGAGCATGATGGAGACAGTGTCCTAATTTTCCTCAAATGAAGATGTGGAAAAGCATTCTTGCTTTTTATTTCTTATCATGAAATAATGTTTGTGCTCTTGTTCTTTTTCTCTTTTTTATTGAATCGTTTTATTCAATACTTTTTAACTTCTCTGTCAATGTATATTTAATGTAATGGTTAAGGGATAATACGTGAGCTATTATGCTAAAGTAAAACACAGCAGCTTAGCTCATGTAGATGTCTCAAGAGATTTCTTTTTTAATCTAATATTTTTCTCTAAAAAAGTTCTCTATACGAACCACAGAGTAGACTTTAACTTTCTGGCTTATAGAAAATATATTGATTAATCTGCCAAAGTATCATGAAATCTATCTTTAATTGGTGGATTTTTTATGAGTTTTGCATTTTTTCCCTCATATTTAAGGATAAGATTTCAGACTTGGCTTTCACTTGCTTCACAACACTAGATTTTATTCATGGCTATTGTCAACGTTCAGGCAGTTATAACAAATTTAGAAAAGTAGGGCCAATTGCCAATACACACTGCCTTGTGTTTTCTAAATGTTTTCCTGAAGTATGCTTTGTTACAGCTAGCATGCTTAAGCCACGACTGTAGTCTTATTTTTACAGAAAAAGAATTTGAGGAACCAATAGCTAGCATAATGATTACATTGCTGGACTTCCATATAGTCAACTGCAGTTCGAGTCCCAGACCCAGTGGCTTAAAACTCACACCGGGCACATGTATGTGTATGCCCAAGATCCTGACAGGAGGTTGGAGGAGAAGGGATTGTGGTGTGGCCATCCCCTCTTGGGATGGGGGGGTGGGGGTGATTTCTCTCTTTCTATCTCTCTGTCTCTCCAGTGAGTGTATGCACCCTATAGCAAAAATCTCTCTCAAAAAAAGAAAAAGAACATAAAACATACTACACATGAGTCATCAAAAACAAAACAAAACAAAGGCTGGACCCATAGCCTAGTGGTGAAAGGAGCAAGATCCCATATGGCTGACACAGGTTTGAATCTTACTCCCACAGCTTGTAAAACACTCCAGACACACAAAATCCCAACATGTAAAGAAATGGAGAAGAAGGGATTGCTGTGTGATCATAGACAATTGGATGTTACTTTTTTCCTCCTCTCTCTCTCTTTCTCTCTGTCTCTCATTTCTCTGTGTCCTCTAGTGAGTGCATGTGCCCTCTGGCAGTTTAAATTAAAAAGGAAAAAATTCTTAAAGCATGGTTTCCTAATTGAATAAGCTAAAAGTATGGATTGTTTACAATTAAAATTCAGAGGAAAACCTAGTTATCTGCAACTGATTAGGAACAGGTATGCAGAATACAGTAAATAATCTGAAATGTTCAGGAAAACACATTCTTCTGGTAGCTAAAGTGTAACATGAAATCATTTTACATTTAATGCAGTATTTATTTGAAAAACAATGTATTATTGTTTCTCCAAATTTCTTCCAGGACCAAATTTGTAAAAAAGCATGCATGTCATTGATGAGTTTTATTCTTTACTGGCTAATTCTCAGACCTAGGTCATTTTGTAATATCTTTCTTACAAACTTTCCATAGTCTATGAGATACAAACAGTCAACAGAAATAGTTCTAAAGTAGCTTTATGTACTTAGGAGACTAAACTGGCCTACAAAAATAAACATAACATCCATTTGCGTCAACCTGGAGATGTGGTCCTTTTGCCTGATTCCAAGAGCACTTCCTTCCTACTTCCCTTCTAATCCATCCCTGCTCTTGGTTTGGTTCCTCCTGATCTCATCATGCTCTGAGATGCCTGCTGCCTCAATTGCCTTTAACCAGAAACACTGGCTAAAGCACCTTTCCAGGATGGTTACTGTACCCACCTGGGCCACGTGGACTATTCGTGTGGACTGAAAGAGGTCCGCTTAGCGACCAGATGTCATGGCTCACAGATCCTCCTTTCATCATGAGGCTTCAGCCAATTGTGAAGCTCTCCTTCATGCACTTCTGGAAGTCCATGGGAGCACGGGGAGACTGACATCAGCCCACACGCTCATCTTGGCTCACGTTCCCTATAGCTTCAGATGTCATATATCACCGCTGACCTCACCATCACCCCTGCTAACTGAAGGACTGATAGCATCTAAGCATCAGCATCATGGACTCCAGAGGGGATTTTGTCATCAGTTCCACACCTGGTCTTTGGGAAGTAAGTGATGCACAGTTTTGTCAGGCTCTGTAATACTCTCCACCCCAACATACACATACACTCTCGTGTGCATGCACACACACAAACACACAAGTCCTCACAAGCATCCACACACTCATATAACTATATAGACAGACACATTCCATCACACGCTCACATACACATGACCATATACACATGCATGCATGCTTTCACACACACACAGACTCAAATACGCACAGGCATCCACACGCAAACTATGTATGTAGACCCACGCACACACATCTCTGAGCACATACATGCACATGGCCACACACAGTACTTTTGAAACATGAGAAGGTAAATGCTTCATCTGTCTGTGTCCTACAAAGAGGCTTCAAAGAGTTTGTAGAAAATGCATATTATGTAGAAAGTATACTTGGATTTTTTTTTTCTTTTGCAACAAAATAAACTCATACTTTAATTTCACTTCGTAGCAAGTTTTTGGAAATCCCCTGTACTCTCTCTGGAGAGGGTTAAAAAGGTGTCCCAGCGGGTATGCTCAGGGACTTGTGTTTACTAAGTATTCGTTCACTATGCATACTGAAGTTTTTTCCTTGTTTCTTTTTTTCTCCAAAGGACACATCCAACTGTCAGGATCTCCAGGTCTGGTGTGTTCTCAGTCATCTTTTTACCTGACAATTCCCAGCCAAGTCCCCCTAGTAACATTAGTGAAGGGTCACATCTCTATTTGCAACCTGAGTTCTTTCATAACTCCATGTCCACCACAATAAGTACCTGTTTTGTTAGAACAAGAAACCATCACCCTAGTCACCATATAAATCAGTACTTAGAGATAAATAACTTAAGAGGGATGACTTCTCCTCCCAAAAAACAGTCATCCACATAGTAATACAATGTTTGTGCAAACAAATCCAGGTAGTTTCTTAATTTTATCAAAGTGTTTTTATACTAGTTTCATGTTTTGTTATAGATGCTTCATCATATGCTAAAAATGAACATTCCCACACAAAATAAAACCAGAAGTGAACTTGAATTCTGCAAGGACCAGAATGGATATTGATAAGAAGTATAACTCCTGCCTGGCAAAATATTTATGAAAAATAAAAAGGAAGTCTCCATGAAGCCCTCAATGGTGTATTCTAGGAAAAGTTTGCTGATAGACAAAATCAGTAACTAATGTTCAGGACTGACAAGTTCAGCTTGTCATATAAAAAAAAAAAAGAAGATAGAGAGATTATCTTACATTTACTGATCTACTTTTAAAGCTTACCTGTTGTAATGGAGAACTCCCAAGCAGAATTACATCCTTCTGAGCATGGCATTCAAACTCCTCAGGGTAAGACTGGATTACTTCATCAAGCCCTTTGTGAATTTCACAATTTATGGGCATTTCAGAATCCACAGCCTCCTCCATGATTCTCTCACCTGTTTATCCCAAGATCACATGAAATTCTACTTGCCTTTGTCACTTAAATGTTGGCTAATCACACAGAAAACTAACCACATTTTTTTTTCCTATATGGGATAAAGTTTGGTTTTTCATAATCCACAATTTAGCAAATTATTTTCTGTTTAATGTACCAGGAAATGATTGGATCCCAGAAGTTTTAAGATTTTAAAAAACAACAACAACATAAATCTTTGCTCATCTCATAATATTTATAAAGTATACAAAGTACAGTTATACATTAAAGCCTTTTCCCACCAAACAAATCTCTACTGAAGTGTGGATATGGTGCTTTTTCTGTGAGTACATATTTTTTTTACTTCATCCTACTCTTTTTTTGCTATGCTGCTGAAACTAGTGTGGGTGGTAAAAAGGTTTAGGAGAAACTCTTTGGTTCATTTTCCTGAGTTAGAATCCCTGAGAACATTTTTACACACAGAGGCACTTTATCTGGGCTGCCTTGTTTATTTGCATAGAAATGTCAGCACTTATATAAATGGTATGTGTGCTTTACTTGTCTCTCCATCATCTGAGAACAGTATCATCTACAAAATGTGTCTGTTCATCTAGCCAGATGCTTGCTGTAAATATAAAATAATCCTCCTACTTCCAGTCTCAAAAAAAAAAAAGTGCTGGAAAATAACAAGGAATTTCCCATGTCTCCAACCCTAGAATTTAACAAGAACTAATGAAAGAGAACTTCTTTTGCAGATAGGAATAAGGTGCGGGAACTGAGAAGAGAAGTGGGCTATTTGCTCAGAAGATCACTGGCTTTCATCTCTGTTTGCCATGACTTTGCACAAATCTAGACTTTTCAGGTTTCCGCAATATCTTTCTGGATAAAATGGTTGATAAATTACATGACTATGCTATCAAGCCTCTGAGATGTTTACATGTCTGCAAATTATCATAGGCACCTATTAGGTGCTTCCTGTAAATATGTAAGAGTTGGATGATTTCAAAAGATTCAAGGGGAAAGAGATGTCGGAATGGAAAGGAACTAGATTAAAAGTGCACTACTCAACGTCTAACACGAAAAGGGATGTGTGTGCTGACTCACAAATTAGATTATGCACCTAGAGACCTGAGTTAAGCATGACCATTTGTGATGGTTAATTTTATGTGTCAGCTTGACCCAGTGGTTTAGTGAAGCATCAGTGTAGATGTTACTGTGAAGGTCCATTTTAGATGTGAGTAATATTTAAACCAGTAGATTGACTAAAGAAGATTACTCTTCATAATGGGCCTCATCCAATTAGTTGAAGGCTTTAAAAGTAAAGTCTAAGGTTTCCCCAAGAAGAAGGGATTCTGTCTTGAGATCCCAACACAGAACTCCAGGTTGAGTTTCCAGCCTATTGGCCTGCCCTATAGATTTGACTGCAACACTGGCCAGCCATGGTGGCACAACATTGGCACACAGCTCTGTGAAGCTGGAACCATATGGAAGATCAGGGTTTGGTTCCCAGGTCAACGTGTACACACCTGGTACACATGCATGTGTCCATGATCTTTCTGGGCTTAGGGAAGGATTGCCGCATGGCACCTTGTGGAGGATGCTTATCTTTTTCTCCATCCCTCTGTCTCTCTGCCTCATGAAATAAATAAATAATCTTTAAAAAGAAAAAAATAAAAGATTTCACTATCAGATTACTGTCCTGTAGTTAGATTATTTAAGAAACTGGTCAATGCAATGTGTGTGGGAGGGGGGAAAGAATGGAAGACAACTGTAGACACCAGAGATAGTATAAGAAGAGGGTGGGAAAATACAGAGGGTCAGAAATAGGGGTTAAAAAAATACTAGAAACTAGAAATGGAAAATCTTTTATAATAACATGCATGATTAAGTCAGTATGCAGTGTATTCTGGATGGGAAATCACATTTTGTATGCTGTGATGATGCTTAGGGAATAAATGTAAATTAAGTTAAAAAAAGAAAAGTTTCAGAAAAACAACTGTTTTTCGTGAAATTAAAAAAATGCATTAAAAATATCTATTCAATGACTGCAATAAGATATATAGGTGCTACTTTATAGGATGTTCATTCTACTCATTGAGGCTTATGCCTAAAGTTCGACTTGTGTTCATGGAAATGTACAGCTGTACTTTCTATGAAAATATTTATATCAATTAAGATCTTTAGTGACTCAATAAAATGTGGGGTGAAAACAGTATAGAAAGCAAACATGGATACCAGAGACAGTGTGGGAGGAGAGTGGGAGATGACAGAGGGTAATAGGTAAGGAACCAAGGATGAGGAACAAAAGCAAAACATACAGAAAACAAGAAATTAAAAATCATTTGTTGATGATAACATGTATGTTGATGTGCTTGATTGAGCCAATATACAGTGTAGTATGGATGGAAAATCTCATTTTGTATGCTATAATGATGTACAGTGAACGAATATAAGTAAATAAATTTAAATTTAAAATAAATAACCAAATAATATTAAAAAAAAAAAAAGATTGCTGTGCTGTGGAATTTGGACTCAAGACTACAATGTCAACTTCTGCTTGCATTTCACATCATTTTGCCTGATTCTCCAGCCTGCCAACCTGCCCTAAGGATTTCAGATTAACCCATTCCCACTATCATGTGAGTAAATTTCCTAAAATAAATCTATTTATGCCATCTTGTGCTTCATAACTACATTTCAGTCCATGACAGACTATCTATACAACAAGTGGTCCCATAAGACTGTAAGGGACTGAAAAATCCCTGCCTCTTTGTGAGGCCATAGCCAACCAACATCATAGCACAATGTACCTGTCTGGAGTGATGCGGGTGTAAACATACCTCCTGCTCTGTCATTCGTATAAAATCACAGCACATACAATCACATACAGTACATGAAAGGTGGTATTGATTGCAAATGACTACAAAACTGGTTTACAGGGACCAGCAGTTGGCGTAATGGCTATGTCACTGGATTCCCATATAGTCGAACGCAGTTCGAGTCCTGGACTCAGTGGCTTAAACTCACATCAGGTGCATGTGCGTGCATGCCCAAGAACCCGAGGGGAGAATGGAGGAAAAGGGATTGCAGTGTGACCATCCCCCCTGGGGCGGGGGGCGGGGGGTGATTTAAAAAAAAAAAAAAAAAAGACTGGTTTACGTATAAACTATACCATACTTTTTAATTATCTGTTTTAATTGTCAGAGGGTGTATGTGCCCACCAGCGAGAGATAGAAAAGAATCCTCAATGGAATATGGTCCCGCCACTGTCCCTCTTCCTCCTTTTCTCCATCCTGTCACGATTTTGAACACGTACACATACACACCTGGTATGTCCTTCCAGCTGCCAAGGCCGAGACTCAAACCAGCGTTGGTCATGTTGGATCTGAATTCCTTAACTGCTGAGCTACAGGGCAGGTGATTATTTTTATCATTATTTGAGTATATATTTCTCCTTATAAATGTCTGATGTGAACCAGTATCGGTGTTACGCCAATAGCAGCCTCTTATATCTTGTGCTTGCTGTGTCTCTTGACTGCATCATTTTCTCTGGCATTCTATTTAATTACATTGCTTTGCTGATCATAGCCCCTCCAGTAGAACAAGATGGGGAAGTAGGGGGCCGATAGGTGGTGTGGTGGTTAAGGCACTGGACTCCCACATGGCCAACCTGGTGGCTTGCTTTCTCCCTTTCTCTCTCTCTCTCTCTCTCTCTCTCTCTC